CCCTTTTTTTTTTCCTTTTATTTTGATATAACGATATATTACACAAGGTAAATAAGGAAATTGGTATTGAATTTCTCTTCAATATTTCTCCTCACTTTGGACCGACGTATAGTGAGCCAGAAGTGCAACCAACATTGATCATTCAAGAGTGAAAGCAAGACAAGGTAGTAAACTAGGTAATTAGGGCAAATCAAGGTAAAGACTCAATTTGAGACCAATCACGATCTAATACAAGGTCAAGATTTTAGAGAGACAAGTCAACCACTCACTACTAATATATCACTTTGACATTATCCTCCACTTTGATATTACAACATGCACAACATACCATTGTGTAGCGTTTTATCACAAAGCTTCCGTGTAATAAGAAATAGATCAAATACACCATAATTCATGTATATTTTTTTTATTTTTTTCCATTTTTCAGGTCGGATTTTTGCATCTACTCGTTTATTTCTTTCATTTCTCCAATGTTTCTAAAAAAAAAAAACTACAAATGAAATCATTATCAAACAAATCCTAAATGTATGTATATATTTCTCCATTCCTCTTAGTTCTAAGAGGAACGGAGATATCCACCATATGGCGACTTAAAAGAAATTCATAATAGTTTACATTCACAAGTTTTATTTTTCGCATTCTCTCTCTATGTTTAAATAGATCTTTAGATATAGAAGAAATGATTATACTTGCATCGCGAATGAGGAGTGCACATATCCACATATCCCACCCCTTCAAATAACGTATTTTTACCATATAAATTGCATAATCAAACTCGCTCAATTTCTTAATCTTCAGGTGAAGATGATCTATACAAAAAATCATGCGAATCGGAGAACGTTTAGTCATCCAAATGTATCAAATAAATAGACGATTCAACATGAATATGTTTCTTGGTATTCACATTGTCAATTTGATTCAACAATAGGATGCATAAATGATATCTATTCGAATGAATTTTTTGTAGAGATGATCTTCAAATTTAAACTAAGTAATTGAATGGTTCCGATTTTAATAGAATGAAGATATGTTATTACAAGGACCGATATATGTGCATCCGAGTATTATCCAAGAAGAAAAACTAAAAAGAATAATACTTGCGTCCTAGTATTGGTGATAATTTATATAGTCATTGTAACACCCTGTTTATTTTTAGATATGTGTTGTAGTTATTCATTTTTATGAAATTCAAATGGAGGAATATGTGAAATCCCGTTCCTAAATTTTATTATTAAATTAAGTATTTTGTATTTGTAATCAGAGTTATGGCACATTTATATTTATGGTGTCTAATTTTTTGGTAAGTTAAAAAGATGAAAATGTCCCTAGTTGACGAAACAGAATTATACGAGGACGTATTTTGTCCTTATATGTTTCTCCATATTTTTTGGCATATTTGGATAGAGTTTGATCTCACGAACGCGTAGGAAAAAATCGTTCTCTTAACGATACTTTAACGAAGGAGTTATGAACAAGCAATTACAAGGGTAAAATGGTCATTTGACCATTACTCTAGATGACTCCAATTTTGCTTGAGCATTCATATGGAGTAGAAAAGCCATGTGTGTGGCTGTAACTGGAGGGGGAGGAGAGAAATCAGAGAAGGGAGATACCAGTAGACTCGATCCCAAACCTCTCAACTCGACGACCCAGTTTTGACCCGATCTCAGCCACCACTTGCACACTCCACCTTGACCTCCACTATCTCATTTCCATAAAAAAAAAAAATCGAGCCATTTTGACCTCGGTTTCACGAAGAACAGCAACAATTAAGCAATGGCTCATCAGCAGCAATCTGCCATTCCTGAAGTTAATTCCATTGACCACCACCACCAATAGATTCCCCTCAACCTCATAAACAATATCCATGCATTGGTTGAGGCGTTGGAGTTCGTTTTGGTGCGAATCAAGAATACCCACTTCTAGGCTTTCTAGCGAATCTAGGGTATTTTCAGCCATTTCTTGGCCGAGTTGGTACCATTTGAAGGGATCAAGCAATTTGTAGTTCACATTCATATTTAATCCATTTACTAAAATATTTAAGTGGTGGAAATTAACGAAAACTAGATTCGAACGATAGAATTTCATCAAACGAATATCAAATATGTAATAAGAGTATCAAATTTAATCTAAAAAGACAAAGTCAGCCCATTGGCTATGCGTAGCCATACGCGATGGTTGGCCACCCCGATTCACCGTAAAATACAAATTCATTCATGGTACAAAAAAAACAAGCATAAAGATGTAGACATGCTCTCAACACATGAACCCATGCCACACAAACAGCATAACGCAAGATGGCCCAACAGGAACGAAAAAAATTGCAGACATGAATAAAAAATTGCAACCCGGCAACAAAAAATTGCATAAAATGATGCAACCCAACAACAAAAATTGAAGAAAATTCTAATAAAGTACAAAATCAACATGGTAAGCAAAAGTGAACAAATGAACAATCTCTAAGTATACAACAGATTAACGTGGCTCAGCATAAAAACCTAAGTCCATGGATGAAGCACGGCCAGAAATTTCACTAAACAAGTGAAGATTACAAAGTTTAACTCTTATAACCGATATCTCACAAATTACAAACCCTAACCAAATGAGCAGAAAACCCCAAAACAAATGGAGAAAATTCTTTCAAATTGTCCTCTAACTCTCAAACTCATAAATTAGCCAAACAAATGAGCTGTGAATTTGCCGCACTCATGACTCCAAACGGTCACCTCCACCCGAAACCAAAAGAGAAAACTCTCTAAGTCATGGCGAGGCGCACAAAATAAACTTATCATATGGTCCTTTTATAGTGCATAGAACTTAGGTTACAATAAGAATCTAAATTCTAATTGGAAGTAAATCCAAATCCTAACAGGCAAGGAAGTCAAATATTTATCCTAATCAAATGAGTAAATTATCAAAACTTCTCCACCAAGCAAAGAATCCAACCAATAACGCGAAACCCAACCCATATAGGACACGAAAAAACAAAACATGAAATGTGAGAGGATTTCTCTGTCCGTTTCCAATCAATTGGTTGTCACTTCCAATCGATTGCCCTGATGCCATAATTCTTCAACTGCTTCTATCCGACGGGTTGGGCAGGTGATAATTACCAAATTAGGGATGGTATTGATGTTGTTGGAAGTAGGTCCTCGGCCCGTCTCTCTGAAGATTCTACATGGTATCAGAGCTAAGAGACGACCATGTACTGCCACGTGATTGGGTGAGTCTTGCCCCACGTGTTGGGTGAGTCCCGACTTGGCTCCACGTGGTTGCTGATGCATAGATCTCTCACGTGTGACCCATTAATTGGGTCTCACGTGTAGGGACGTGTTGAATATCCCACATTGTGTGAGGGAAGGAAAGAAAGAAATAAGAGTTTAAATATGATTATCCCACTTCAACTAACACCAAGACTTTTTATGATAAAATCTCACACCTGACAGATTGGACATGTAGTAATTACCAAGTTAAATATAATATTAGTGATTAAAAATGACCATCGACCTGTCTCTCTGAAAATTCTACAAATTAGAATAATCTCTTTTGTTTCTTATTAAGCTTATATATGTATATATAAGATTCGTAATGTGCGTATAATTCGCACAATTCGCAGGCAAAGCCACACAATCTGACATTTTAAAAATATCCTCAACAAAGAGATGACCGCGTGACATTTTAAAAATACACTCCAACGGCAAATTTGTAACTGCCTTTGCGAGACGGTATGATCAATATTTACTCTCCCCTCCAAATTGAAGCTATAGCTGTTCATGAGTGGCTTTGTTCTGGCGTCATCTAGGGGTTTGCAAAATGTAATTTTGGAAACTGACTCCCTCCAGATTGCAACAGCGCTTTCGGCTGGCTCTCTCAATATGTCTTTTGTTGGACCTCTTGTTGAAAACTTCAAATTCTTGCTGTCCACGATTACTGGAAGATATTCTACCCACGTAAGCGAATGGCATCGCCCACCGTCTAGCGCGGTTCGCTCTGAGCTGCGACAATTGTTTTACTTGGCTTGAGTATCCACCGGACCTCATTGCCGACCTTTTGTTAGAGGAATGTTTGAGCTCGACCCCTCTTCCGTTAGAGGTCTTTTGTACTGGTTCTTTGTTTTTTAATGAAGCTATTGTTTCTTTTAGAAAAAATACTCATATTCAATAATAGAAAATTATGATCAAATCGTAACTAGAAATAAAGAACTGGAATAATAACAAATCATAACCTATAATTAATTTGGAAATCATAATAATATATGTAGAAAACGGCAAGTCCTTGGTAGCTAGCCATGTTATGTGCCATCACCACCATCCGAATAATGTCAAATCTCCTTAAATAATTAATGTATCTAAAGTCTAGAAGTAAAAAAATGTCGAAGATAACTCCAACCTATAGTAGCTCACTAATCAGCATATACAGTCAAAGAACTTCTTGATTAATGTTGATGTTTGTAAGTTTGTAACTCATCTAAATTGTATTGATAAAAAGAAATTGAAGAAAGTTGGGTTCTATTATAAAATCAATTAGCAAAAGGACTACTTCACTCAGGTAAGGTATCTTCTTTCTATAATGTGGGCTTGATACTCTCAATAGACACCATAAATTAAAGAATAATGCTACTCTTACCACATTTTTCGTATCACATTTATACCACCTCTAGCTCTAATAGAGATAAGGCCTACCAACACATGTGGGTGTCATCTCTATTAGAGAGGTGATACAAATATGGTATGAAAAATGTAATAAGAGTAAATTTTTTAATTTAAATCAAATATTTATACAATTTATATGCCCATATCTCATACATTATTTTATCGAATTACGTGCACACATTAAACGTGGAGTTCTTAGTTAGATGAAAAAACTGGACCATTTATATAATAGGGGTTTCTTCTCATTTGAAGGGAGTATAAATCATTAGTTTGATTGAAGTGGTCTGACACACCAAGTATTCTCTTACACAAACTAAACTAAAGGCCTCTCTCATCTCTCTCTCCCAAATGGCCAAGGTTCATCCTCTTTTAACATCCAACAGTACTGGTGATGCTTCTTCCAGCTCTACTAGTACTCCATGTTCTAATAATAAGTATTTGACTTCAAAGAGAGAAACATGCACCATTTGGATGAAATCTCTTGTAATGCAAGGAAGCGGATGCACTGCGTTTGATGAAAATGGCGAGATTGTTTATCGCGTCGATAACTACGACAGCAAACACAGCAGCGAAGTCTATCTCATGGATCTCCGCGGCAAGCTTCTATTTACCCTATGTGAGAAGAAAATGTGTGGTTTTCCAAGTTGGAAGGGCTACAAAAGCAATGGTATCTGTGCCAGCAAGCCATTGTTTCGAATGAGAAAAAATTATAAATCAATTCTTGGAAATAAAGAGTGTTCTTATAAAGTTACCATGAGATCTGCAAGCAATTGCTACAGGTTAGAGGGTTTGAATAGTAAATCAACAGCTTTCAGAATTATGGACAGCAATAGAAGAGTTGTAGCAAAGGCAAAGAGAAAGCAGTCAAGGTCAGGAGTAGTATTGGGAGATGATGTATTCACATTGGCAGTGGAGCCTCATGTCGATCACTCCTTTATCATGGCCCTTGTCACTGTTTATGGCATGATACGACGCTAAATATGATTAAGAGTTTTGGATGTGTCAAAGATACATAAACATGCTTACTTGTAGTAAATAGTGGTATAGAGACAAAGAATCAACTGAGTTTTTCTTAGCCTGGCTAGGGTTTTTTCTTTTCCTTTCTTTTTTGTTGAAATCAGTTTAACCCATTGTAGTCGAATGATTGATGATTTAACTTAACTATTTAACTCAGCCATTTTCATATCCTCTCTTTCTCATTCCTGGTGGTTGTACGTATAATATATATTGGGGTGTGATTCATACACCCCCTTTTACTTCTCACACACCCTTATTAATTTATGTTCTTTGATTTTCTTAAATTTATTCGATCCGATGGCCGAAAATTAAGAAGGTGTGTGAGAAGTCAAAAATGATGTGTGAGAAGTAAAAAATGATGTGTGAATAGCACACCCCTATATATTTTTGCTTGGGCCTCAAATCCTGGGTTAGGCCGAGTGGTTAAGAGTCGGCCCAAAAAGGAGAAAATTGTGGATGTCAGCCTAAACTAACCTAAATAATAGATTAATTTAAACAAAACTAAACTTGCAATGGCACAAATCAATTATAGTAATATATACAAATACGAGGTCAATCCCACAGGGATTGCTTTAACACCAATTTAACTGATTAACCACGCTAGACTTAATTAAACAAACGAAGGATAAATTGAATTGAATAATTGAGTAATTAATTAAGACTATAATCATCAACACAAATTCTGACTGGATAAGTGGGTTTTGGTTGGTAGCCAATAGACGACGACCGACTAGATAAACAAACTTTTCCAGAAGAACCAATAAAGGCGACCGAGTTGATAGATGAGGCTGGAGCTATAGAGTCAACTTGCTTAAAGAGTCTTGACCAACTAGATAGACAAGCATTCTTTCTTTTGTGACTGGCTATTTATCTCAAGTCTCAGTAAGGAAAAATCTTTGATTCTTTTGTGAAAGAGGTCACTTTATCAATCATCTCGACAAAGTGAGCTGTTCTATATTTGTTACTCTCAGGTCACATCTAGATTTCAACACGCAGATGGCCGAACCACTTTTACAATTGAGACACTCATATCCGTTGAGTATCTTTGCTCATTCAATTTGATACCGATTCGGTAGACCTATGTTTTCACCAATATAGAGTCGATACTGCCAAACATGGTGCACAAGACCTAGATTTTCACAGCGATTTGCATAACCTCATCTTTAGGTTTTAGAACTCAAGGCCAAGAATGTTCCTACTACGGTCGTAAAGTTCTAGTTTTACTAGGCAGCAAAATAAGTAGTGAAGATTTGGCATGTGGTCTAATATTCTAGTGATTGGGATTAGGTTTCCACCCATGCATCCCAGGTTCAAAACTTCCCCTACCCTAAATTATTATAACACTTATGAACCCTTAATAATAATAATAATAATAATAATTTTTTTTAAATAAAAAGGATTCATTGATCAAAAAATAAAAAGTCAGGTTTGAAACTCTAGAAAATTCAGACCTTAAAATTGGGCTGATCATGATTTTTATTTAATTTTTTAGCACAAAGATAACAACTATATAATGTGACAATTTCGAATTTTGCCGCTCCCCCAATAGTAATAATAATTTGGTTTAATGTTTTTGGTATAACTAATTTGGTTGAACTTTAAGCGTGTTCGTTGCTTAATTCTACGACCTAGTGATATTATAATCACTGATAAATGACAGGCCTCAAGCTCGAATCTCAAAAATACGAGTTCGCAACCAATTTATTTCAGCACCCCTTAATATATACCGTTGTATAAAAAATGGTAAGTGTGTCTCAGAATTTATAAATAATAGAAATTTGGTTGATTTTTCTTCCATATCAATTTTTAAATTATCTATCACCGGTATGCTAATCTTTCTCTCATAACATTCAGCACAAAAAAATAGACCAAAAAAAATATTCAAAGCAAAAATTGATACTCCAACGTAGAAATTGTGATTGGTTTTTCTTCCATATCCTCTTCATCTAGTTAAAAAGAGCATCGCTGAGATGCAATAATATTTTATAGGGTATGTTGGTACTATATTATATTGGACCTCGTTCATTTGGCTTCCAGACATTGAGCCTATGATTTATGTAAAAGGGGAGGAGCCCTTAGTCTATAAAAAGGACTCCTCACCCTCACAATGGGGAGGCTTGACATCCCAAAACAGATGCTCTCATATTCAGAACAACCCTCTCACAAACGGAGAAACTCACTTAAACTCTCTCTTTCTCTGGGGGGGGGACTCCCCCTCACACTTGTAATCCATACATTCATACAGAGAAATACAATCAACATCAGTGTGGACGTAGCCCAAACATTGGGGTGAATCACGATACATCTTGTGTTCTTTACTTTCTTGCAGATTCATGGTCGGATTTATGTTGTTTCAAAACCCTTCCGGTTTTGTGCATCAACAGGGTATACATTTCACAAGCACCTCATTAGTTTTGAGCTTATGGAGAGAAAAAGAAGTACAAAAATTTCATGACTACTTTGTTGGAGTTAAACTATGAAGTCTAGCCTTATTTATTTATTTTTTGTATCCGAAATAAATTAGGGTTAAAGTTTTAATGAGTGAGCTATCTTTGTGCTTGAAGAAGGGTGAAACCCGTCTATATTCTTATTTTTTTTTGGTAAATACGCGGCTATATTCGTATAGGCTAAAGGTGCTCTAACATTGAATGTAATTTTATGGACTCCCATTCAGCAATGCTTAGAACATCTTCAAATATTTTATTTGTCCATAATAAAGTTTATATAGTTAACCTAGGAAATATGATTAAAGTAGCAGAACCTTCAAGAGTAACTCTGAAATATAGTTAAAAAAATAACTGAAGTACCTTTGGAAATTGGAATACTCTCCCTTTTAAATTGGTCTTTCGATGGCGATGGTTATTCAACATTAGGAGGCGGCACGGCATAGCTAATAATTTGGGGAAACTGGCAATGTATCATCGACCAAGAAAAAGATACAAGCAAAGTAGCAAACACCTCATTCTCCCAGGTTAGGTAACAAACACACACACACACAGAGACACACGTGTTCTTTCCATGTCAATCTTAATTCGTAAGATTCGTTAATGGCGTCCTCAAATTCTATAGGTTCTATAATTAATTTATTAAGGGATTAGATCCTTTTTCGTTCATTAACTTATGACACAACATAAGAAGTGAGGAGGAGTTAAACACACAAAAGCATCTCTAGCGGAGATGTAAAAAAATATGTGCCTAATTTGTATTTGATGAATGAGTTGGCATTGAAATAACACCTTTAAATTTTTAATCTCCAATGAAGACGTCAGTTTTTTATTTTACTTGTTCAAGTGGGACCCATACATATAAAATATGTTATGTTTACTTTTTTATGGAACTCAAACCAATAAAAAATAAGGAAAACTAATGAAAAGGGCTTGAAAACTTTAAAAGTTAATCAAAAGCCATGTAAAAACTTTATTTAATGGTTAGGACAAAGCCCAACACTAAACTAGTCTAACCAAAATGGCCCAAACATTGAGTTCCCTATTTTACCCCTGATGCTAAGCTCTGCCCGTTCATTAACTCTTTCCCTTTCTTGATCTCTCCATCTATTCTCTGCTATTATTTTTACTTCCAATTCAATTCCACTTCCTCCATTGTTGCAATTGGATTGATTGAATCTCTCTCTCTCTCTCTCTCTCCCTCTTTCGATCTCTCCACCCAACCTGCTTTTCATTTTCAATTCGAATTCCATTTTTCGAATCAACTGAATCGATCGAATCCGATAGCACGGGTGAGCGTCTCAGCATCGAGCCTCTGGAGCTCAGTTTCTCTTGTGATCAATATAACACGCTATCTTTCTCGTTCGATCGGTTTCTTGTTTAAAAGATTTGTTTATTGCAATTTCATTTCTGATTTCAATTTACAGTTCTGTTTTTGTTATTGAATTTCTGCAATCGAATAATGATGAAGGTGAAGACGACGGCGACCGGGAAGCTGGAGCTGCTGTGTTTGTTTTTGTTACTAAATTTTCGGCATTGAAATTCTTGAGTGAGGAAATATTTTTCTTTTTTCATTTAAAGTTACTGAGTGTAGGTTTGATGCTCCCCTGATTGTTGAAAGTACAACAAAGAGGTTTGATGGAGGAGTGCCATTTTTTTGAGATTTATGAATGGCTTTTTCCTTTTGGGTGGGTTAGTTTAGGAATTAGTTGCCGTCTTTCTTATTTACCTCTAATTTGAAGAGAATTGCATTTCTGGTTAACTAATCAAATTACGACATGGAGGATTTTATTAATTTAATCAGTAAGAAACCAGAAGGGGATAAGAAAATCTTATGAGGGATCTAATATATGAAAAGTACTACTAAAAACTTTGAATTTTGCTTAAGAAAGGTTGTATCTGAGCGCATATTTGACCACCCCACCTCCTTTGTTGGCCGCTGCTAGTTGCCGTGAAGTGTCAGGTCTTTCTTTATAACCATTATCTTATACTATACATCACAAATGCAATTGCTTGACATGTAAGTGATGGTTTTTCCTGAGGTTTCAGGGATGCCTTCTTCCAACTCCTATCTATGATTAAAGGGCAAATACGTTTCAGCTTCAATACAAACACTATTTCTGAAACTAAGCTAAAAAAACTCATACTATTTTTGGAATTATAGCAAAATTACCCATATTATTTCTAAAAACTGAACCAAAATAACCCACATTATTTCTAGAACTACAGCAAAATAACACACACTATTTCTAAAACAAATCCAAAATAACTCACTATTTCTGAAACAGAACCAAAGTAACAACACTAAGGGCAATGATTTGTATACTTCACTAAGGGGTGATTAGACGTTCACCAGATTAAGTTGCTTGTAAAAGGATAGAGATCAAACAAATAATTCTCGCAGTCCTGCCGCATGTTGCTCGTTTATATAGAACCAAAATAAATACTATTTCTTGAAGGGAACAAAATAACTCATACTATTTCTGAAATAGAATCATAATAACCTACACTATTTTTTGGAAAACTATAGCAAAATAACTCACAATATTTCTGAAATGGAACAAAATAAACATTGTTTCTGAAACTATAACAAAATAACGAACATTATTTCTGAA